CTGGTGCTACTGTCTGGTCCTCCTTCCGCACAGCTGAGTGATTAAGCAGAAGAGTGGTGCAAGACTGCCAAAATAGGGTGGAGTAATGATTACACGCATATGTGCAGAGCTGAAGACCTTTAATTCTCAAGAAGCTTAATTGAATAGACGCATGCAATGTGAGTCAGGGCAGAAGACAATTGATAACTTGGTGGTGATGTTTGATTTCATCTCTCTGCTTCTTTATGCTAATGGTGTGGATTTGCATAACCATTATGGATAATATATCGTTTTATGGAGAGGGAAAGTAGAAATGGAAAAATGTCTAGTACTTGGTGATCATAGGCATGTTGCAATGAATCTTGATAATGCCTTGAGATAACTTATGCAGCCACCTCTCATGCTGATTAATATAATCCCGAAAGTTATTGAAATTGTTCTTTCAGGAAGCTAAGAAAGATGGCATTCACCAGGGTGTCCAGTTTTGAATTAGGAAGGTGGGCCCTCTTTCTTCCTCTATAACATTCAAATGTTTGCTAATCTCTGAAGAGTCATTTTTGATGTCTCTTTTTTCCCCTTTAAATGTAATGTTTTTTGCTCCTAGATCAAGCAAAAAGCTTCCCCTAGTTTTATCTGTTGGCCTGTAACGATTTAGTGATGATGACGCACCATTAAACTGCTACTTTCACTAATATTATTTAGACTGTGGAAAAAATACTTGGTAATAAACTATTTCCTTTCCTACTTATTTTGAATTGAAGTTTTACCATTAAAATGTTCTTTCGGAACAGTGACTTGTCCCTGCGCAAAGCCCCACTGCCTCAGCAGGAGCTCCTTGTGCAGCCCCGCTGGCACAATCAGGCCCCAAGGTTTCATGAGGTTTCTTTAAAAAGAAACCGTTCATCTGGGACCCAGAACTGGGAAAGTTCAGTTTAACCACAGAAACTCAGGCATAATTTGTCTGTTTTCATGATCCATAATTCTTGTGCCCCAGACTGACGTTTCAAGTATAACACTGCTTTGGCTGAAAGTGCTGCAGAAAGTCCTGATTCTAATACTCTGATTACAAGGGATCATTGCTTCTTGCTGACACTCAGCAGTATTTCAGAAATACTAGTGTAAACTGTAATCACGTGCTTAAGGATGGACAAGTGTGGGCTCTGTGTGTGTAAGTTTTACCTATGATTTGCTTGGCAATGTGGGGCAAGCTTTTAATGTTTACGTGCTTCTGGCTCCCTTTCTCTTAAACTGCCACAGTGATACTCGTCTGGGTTTTGAGATGTGGGAAGGAGTATGTGTGGGACAGAGGTGCCAGTGCAAAGTGCAAGGATAAGGTAGGTTTGTGCCCCTAGACATATTTTTGGATACTTTGAGGGATGAAGATGGTTTAGCCACCCAAACTTAGTACTGAGGAGTGTCTGCACTATTTAAAAAATGTTTCTGTTAATGCAATCAAACAAAAATCCTTTTTCATAGTTAAAAACAAGCAGCCGGCTTTGCAGTTTATCCAGATTCCAAGTTCTGCAATAGCATTTAGCATCAGCGGGGCTTGCAAGTTCAGTGGTTGCTCAGGCATCTGTGAACAGAAGCTTACTGTAAACTCTAGTGTTAAAAAGATATGCAAATATTTATGCTGGAAGCAGAACCATAAAGCATACAGCAGATTCCTTCCTTATCCTTTTGTACAGAAATGCAAGAGAGCTTCTGTTCCAGAGTGTGCTGGGTCTCTGATTGCATGTAGGGCAATGCTAGCTGACCAGCGGGCTGCAGGTGCACCCTGGTTTCTCAGCTTCCCTTCACTTGTGTGACAGGCCCCCTTCACTGCATAGGGAATTCCTCTCCCCTCCTGCCCCACTGCTCTTCCTGTGGATTACCAGTACTGTTCGCTCCTGTGGGCAGGAAGGTGTTTTCAGTCACACTTTAAACCTTTAATCTTGTGTCATTTTCATGAAGCAAGATTCCACAGTGAAATCTGATGGCTGCTGATGGTAGCTTCTTGGTGGTCTGTTGAGAGCTAGTAGAGGCATTGCCTGGTAGATGGACTTTCTGTTTCCCGGGCATGTTAAAATATGCCAAGTACTTCACTAAGCATCTCCCTAAAGTGCTGTCTGTATTTGCCTTAGTTCTATGCAGTTGTCAACGAAGTGGTCAGAGGAGGAGGGAGGAGTAAGTAAGGTGTTCACAGGACTTTTCCTTTAAAACAGCTTTACTATGGGAAAGTCTGAAAAATGTTGCCTTGAATCCATAGGTTACTAAGGGTGAATGAGTGATTACCTGCAATTTTTAGTTTTTCACTTGCACTTTCATCTTATTAATAAATATTATGATCTCATACACATACAACTTTATATGTGCTAGGCAAAAAAAAAAAAAAAAGATAAAAGATTAGAAGCAGCCGTTTGCCTCTTCCCCCCCCCCCCCCCCTCTCTTTTTTTGTGGCACTGGCAAGTGCTCAGGATGTGGCTACTTGCAACAGGTTCCCTTCCCTTTCCCCCAGCTCCCATATTCAAATTCTTCTTTTTTGGGGTCTGACTCTAAAGATCTGTAAAGTTAATATTGAGCTTTTTCAGAGAAGAGATGTTCCACTGATGTACTTCTATGCATTTTGGATAACTTATTGGATCAATTATAGGAACTACTCCCAATTGCTTCTAGACTTTAATGCACTCTTTGGCTTTCGTTCAGCAGTTAATATACTGAAGAATTAGTAAGAAGTTATGCAAAGTAAGACTGAAGCACTCTCACCTCAGTCCTATCAAGGCATCAGAACTGTGCAGAAGTTCAGATGAGGAACTGAAGATTTGTGATGAAAACGTGTTCCCTTTGAAAAAGAAGCAAGTATTTGGATTCTCCAGCTGTTGCAGTCAAGACAGAAAAAGTGATGAGGGACTCAAAAAGGATTCCTTTGAAGGAGGCTGATGATACATATTATGATTAGCAGGCCTGAATGCTATGTCTAAGTGAAGCAAGTGGGAAATACTGTCACTGATTTCAGTTGGGTTTCTGGAAATAGCTCTGTTCCCCAAAGGATAAATGCACTCTTCTACAGGCATGGTAGAAGTGACTCAGTAGAAATGTGTATTAAAAGAAATGTGAGAGGTTTTTTTTTTTTATGAGCAGAGCAAGTGAGGTCAATATTAAGTGTCTTATTCTGCTGTAGAAAGCTATTAAGGTAATAAGAACATCATCATAAATTTCATGGTTTTGGTAGTTTATTTTTAATTCTGCCTTTCTGGGATTGCAACCATTATGCTTTTTTTTTTTTCCCCTCAAACAAATTAGGAGCCTCTGGACGCACTGATGTAATGTTCTTGTAGTCTATCACTGTGGATCTGTGAGCCAATCTGGTGCACAGATGAGTCAGTTCAAGACTGGGGTATGTGCTTCTTAATTTTGTGTTGCAGTACGAAAATGCCAGGAGGTTTAAACTCTAAACCTTTAATAAAGCCACCGTAGGGCACAAACACTGTGGGAGTCGTGCTTATTTATATCTGCTGTGATAAATAGCATGGGATTTCAACTTGTGGTTTTCTTAGAAGCAGAGATGAAAAGGGTGGTCCCGTGCATAGCTGGTGGGCTAGCACTGGTCCATCAGTCTCAGTGACACTCTGTCAGTTTATGCCAGCAGAACAACTGAGCCGTAGTCAACTCTTATTTGGTACTTGGAAACAGTTCTGTGTATTTTAATCAGACTTTGTGTCAAGAAAAAGCCTTCTTTGTGTGTAGGTATGTAAATACATGAGCGCTTCTTGGTGCAGTTATCAACAAACCACTGATAACGCTTATGTTGTAAGCTTTCAGGATTCGAAGCAGTGAATGAGTTGACGTGCAGTTTTTAGAATTTTAATAAGGTATTGGGCAACGCAATCAACTATGAAAAAAAAGTAACATGCACTGCGTATTTCTGATTGAGAAGAAAAGTTGTGAACGTGACTTTTGTTCAGCACTTTCGGCAAGAACCAGGGTTAGGACTCTGGCAGCCAAGTCTGTTAATTCCATTGAGCAACTTGAAACGAGGGGCAGAAACTGCTGCCTTCTTTTGAGTCAGTCAAACATCACTGCTGGTGGTTGCTTGTTTAGCCTAATATGCGTGTGTAAATAATTATTAGATTAAACAGAGTCCCTCCTCTATTTCGGCACTTGGCTACAAAGGAGAAATGTGCTTGCGTTCTTATAGCCTTCTGTTCTGCAAGAACACTGAATGCTCTTTGTAGGTTCTCTTTCTTAGTTTATGATACTAATTGCTACCTCTGGACTTCTCAGAAAGAGTGAGTGACCTTAGTGATCTACTGCGAAATTGGAATAGCTGTGGGTCCTTGAGCATACTCGTCATGCTCCAAATTGCACTTAATTCTGAGTATTTGGACCTATGCTCAGGCCTAGGGAGATTTGGAGACAAACTTTAAATGAGCAAAATTTTTACTTCAAGGCCACCAACCTATCTGAGTGGATTTATACTTTTGCAGTCTGGTATATCTCTTCCACACTTAATTCTGAGTACTTGGTCCTACACTTGCTCGCTTAAAGTGACTGGGCTGAAGATTAGGTCTTTGAAACTGTTTAAAGAAGTTTTTAAGAGCATCATAATGAAATGGAACCTAAATGTTTTTGTTGCTAATTAATTTCAAAAAATCATGAAGGAGGGCTAGAATCCTTCCTTTTGTTGATTATTCTTCCCAGGCAGGAACTTGGATACACAAGAAGAAACCTATTTACCTGCTCACTGCCATGGTTGGAGCATCTTTACAGCACAACTCAAGCCTTGTTTTTTTAATAAAATACATTCTGTATACTGGCCTCTAGCATGTTTCACCATTTTAAGCTATTAAGATTCTCCACGTACAAACTGTGCCATACAAACTGAAGTGCATAGTGCAGTGATTCATGCAGTAGGCTTATTATTCCCGTCTTCTGATCTTCAGTATTTATTACCTTCTGCAGTGTGTACCTGGGAGCTTGGAGGATCCAAAAGCCGTGACACATCATAAGTTGATACATGCTACTTCTGAGAAGGTGCTGACAGACACAAAAACAGTGTTAGAGGAAAACATTCAAGACAGAGGTAAGGTTCTCTTTTCTCCTTTATCCTGTCAGCTTGGAAACATGAAACTGTGTTTTACCGTTTGGTGAGTTCCAAGCTGTGACCTTTTAGTATCTACTCTCAGCTTTGACATGAGGAAACTAATAAAGTGGCAAAAAGGGAAGAGGAAAAAGGCTGTTTTTCTCCAGAAAAAACACAATGAGCAGTTTGCTTTCCTTAGCTGTTCTTTCTAAGGGTTGAAAAAACATTAGGTGTGTTCATTAAGCTGATAAGTTAAATTATTTTTCTTACCACCTTCTTAAAGCAATTCTTTTAAAACCTCCCCCACTGCTTTTCGTGATATCACAGATATTTAGTAGACAGCATTTATCCCTCAGAAGATCTGAAAATTGTAACCATGGTGAAGAATATTAAGAAAGGAAAGAACCCTTTTTTGGATAAGTTTACTGAGGTCTCCTGATCAAGCAGAGGGATGTTGCTTGCTGAAGTGTATTTGAGCATCTGCAGTTTAGATCTCGTTCTGTGCTCTGCAAACATGGGTCAAAATGAATCAAATTATAGCATCGCTGACTCCAGTAGAATGAGGCGTGTATTTACTTCTTTAAATTTAAAGACATAAAGGATTCGTGTGATACAAAAGAGAATCTAAAAATTAGAGCTGTTGGGATAGCTGGATTGAGCTCTTACTGAGCAGTCTAAACTAATGATCCCTTCTGGAGCTGAAGGGCAGTAGTGTAGAAAGCAAGCGTGAGAAGCTTTACTGCTCTAGACTGAAATGTTGGCTGAACCAGCGACACTACTCACACTGAATTTCTGGATTTTTTTTGATGGAGTTCATGCAGGCTGGAGTGCTGCTGCCATGAACACAAGCAATTTGGTCCCTTTCCCTTTGAAGGCAATGTCACCTATTGTCTTTAGAGTTAAACAGGAGTTGAGAACTCCTGTCTTGGGCAAAGGCAAGGAACAGTCTTTTTGTTGATTGGCAGTTTATTATTTCCAGATGAGGCACTGTCTCCTACTGAGTTTTGAATTGCAGTTTGCAGCAGCTAAACAGCATTAACTGTTCAGTCATAGCAAGCTGTTATGCAAATGCTTCTTTGCTGCTTCACTTACAATATGCTCAAGTGCCCTGCTGCTGTCAGGGAGGCAAGATAGCAGCCAACAGCTGACTGCCGCTGAGCTGCCCAGTTAAACAGCTCTAGCTGACTCCCTTGCTTGCTGCTTTGTGGGGCAGCCAAAAGTCAGTATGTTGATCCCTTTGCATTCTGGTCAGCTGGACAAATGAGGGTTAATAGCCTTCACCAGCTGTTGCTCTTGGCTGTTATATACTGAGCTAGGCCAAGGAAACTTGTGCAAAGCATGATATGTTTGCTTGTTACCTGCTTAACATGACGGACTAGAAAACTGCATGTCAGGCTGTAGTTGGCTGAAGGATGGAGATACTGCACAGGCCTGATTTGGGCCCCAAGCAGTGTGTCTGCATCTTTGCACCCTTAAAATATCTCTGGTAATAACTGAGGTGTTGGAAAAAGATGCCTTATAAAGGGAAAGTATTAGCTTTAAAAGATTGAATCAAGTATATGGCATGTATCCCAGTGATCTAAGACGGAAGGCTCCTCTGCCCTTGAAACTTGCCCCTGTGGTCGCCGGTGATGCACCCTGCTGTAGACAGTCAGCAGCTTTACTGGCATTCATAACGCAAAGGTGAGCTTTAACCTGGTGCTAGGAGTTGTCACTGAAGCTTGGCATTTGACTCACTATAGTTGAAGGAAGGCCTCAGGTGAGAGAAGGGAGGAGGGGGAAAAAAAACCATACGCAGCCTTTCTCTACTGTTTCTTCTCAGTGGAGCTCAGGAAGTGCTGCTGTATTCATGTTATAATGGGCCAATTACTGTGTTAATATAGCCACACAAGACACCTGGAGCCTGTAATACTCTTTGAGGGTGTTGTGTGAGGAGAAGAGACCAGTAACAGTGAAAGCATAACTAATAATGGAGCATGTTCTGAACTCCAGCACTGTCATTCTAAAATTACCTGATTACATCAGTTTTAACTGATGCCAACTGCTGACGTGAAGTGTCTAGTCGTTTGTCAGGTATCTGTGCAGCACATTCACCATAGCGCTATGGAACTGCAAGCACTAAAGGGAAATGTGTAAATCCATGCAGGCTTCAAGTGTGAAAAGTCTGTCTTAGTGGAATTAGTCAAAACTTGTCTCTAGGAGAAATTGAAGCTGTAAAGTATCTTACAGGAACTGTTTTCACTTTACTTCCTAACGTATTTCAGTATCCTTCTCTTTTTAGATGTCTTGCTCTTAATAAAGAAGCGTGCACCACCTCCACTCCCCAAAATGGCAGATGTGTCAGCAGAGGAGAAGGTGAGTTTGGGAGCATTCTTGGCTATCCTGTTTTGATTGACAGTCTTATTAATGAGTTGCAGAAGGACTACTGGGGTGTACTCTTTCTATTTGCAGGGGCATACGCACCCAGCTAAATCCTATGGAAATTATTTCATCTTTCTTTCAGACTTCTAAAGGAAGCTAATTTACATTTTAAACCTTGATTGTGAGAATATTTGCCTTAGAATAAACCATGCAGATGCACTTTGTGGAAGTAGTATAGATTTGATCTTTGAATAAATGGCTAGTAAGCGCATAAACATTCTTCAGCAAGTGCCTTATAGCATCTGTTTCTAAAGCGCTATAGAAATCTGTTGATTACTGTCAGGCTGACTTCAGTCTTAGCTATGTGTGGGTTTTCACCCTCTAACCAGATATCTAGAGCTGAAGCATTGGCCTTTAACTATTCTGCAACGTGGCTGTTTTTTCTCAGAATGTAACTTATTGAGAGCAGTGATGTCCAGAATGACACCTATGAACGAGTGGTGCTGCAGTTGATGTTATCGCATAAATGCTTTGAGCTATGCTAGTGCTTGACGCTATGAGTTCCTAGGCGTCTCTGCTTCTTCCTTGCACAGCTTTGTTTTTTCTTGCTTCCTGTAGCTGTTGGTGTGTGTCTCTATATGTCTTCCTGTAGGTATTGGTGTGTGTCTCTCTCTTTGAGTTATGGTCTTGCTGTACAGAATGTCACCGTAAGAGCATAAGATACAAGAATGGGAAAAATTTTTGGTTTGTCCCCTGCTACGGTTTGTCTCGGATAATAAGCATGTACTGATAATCCAAGGCACCGTATATCTCTGCATGATACCATAATACTTGCAAGCAATAAAGCTCTTTCAGTGTTAAGCAGTTAAGTGTTAACCTGTTCACACTATCCCTATGTCTCTTAACAAAACATGGCTTTGAAGAGGATGTGTTCTGAGCAGAGTATAGGGGCCGGGGAGTTGAAGACTCTAAGTTCTCTCCAAGTCTGTCAGGACTTGGCCGTGTTTGGCACTTCACTTTCCCTCTTCATGTTGGAATTGCCCCACATGTTTAGCTAAGAAAAATAGGTACCGGGGTTGAAAGTGGGACAGCACAATAGATCCAGTTTTGCTCCATAATAGCAAAACGTTATTAGTGCTATTGATCCGTTGTATTGCTAGACTGCTCTTTCTCTCAGTTGCAAGTTACAGAACATTGCCTGATGCCGTGGTGGAGGATATAAAATTCCTGTTAGCTGTGCTATTTTCTTAGTTCTGTGGATAATGGGTTATGAAACCTGATCATATCTCCTATCCTTTAGAGGAAACAGGAGCAGAAAGCTCCTGATAAGGATGCTATTCTCAAAGCAACTGCAAATCTGCCTTCTCGCAATGTAGATCGCACTGTGGCCCATCACAACATGAGGGATGTAAGTATTAGACTTGTTTCCTTTCTTTTAAAACTTGTGCACTAACACCCAAGTAGGCTTTTTTCCTACATAAGCTTTTCTCTGCCACGTGAATATGATAAGCATTTTTCTCTAATAGAAATTCAGGTATGAAAATAAGTATTAGACTAAATTGTATGACCTGTATCTAAATCTTCTTAAGCTATTCAGTGATTAGGAGGAAAAAAAAAAAAAAACCAAACCCTCTATACTGAATTATGATTTTAAATGCTGGAGAGCCCCAATAACCATTTTCAAGATCTGGCAAATGTGAAGTTAGGTAAAAATAGCAAGGGAACAACTACTACTAATGTATTAACCCTGCATTCTGTTGTGTTAGAATACTTTTATGTGTTCAAAAAAGACAGTGCTTTTTAACTATAAAATGTTTAATGAATTATTTTCTGTTCAGTCTTAAATAGCTCAAATGTTGACAGTGTTTTTTCCTCTTCCATGGCTTTGAAAAGAGCAATTATTCTTAAACTTTGACTTTGGTAGTTGAAAGATGCTGAAGTCTCTGCTGTGTCTTCAGTAGTGTGAACTACTCTTCCTTCTGTACTAGCAGGGGTGTGAAGCAGCAAACATGCCTACATATTGCGTACTGTCAAAATGTCCTGTTAACCTAAACAGGACAACTGGCATTTAAGCTATTTAATGGCTAGTATGACCTACTCTATGTGGAATTTTTAAAAATAAACACCCAAGTGAAAAGAATGCGTGATGCTTCAGTTTAGAAAATAGTCGTGGTTTAGGTTCTCAAATTTAGGTTACTAGAAAGCAAAGGGTAGTAACTAAGAAAGCTCACTTCTTCACAGAAGCAAAGGTCTCCAGTTGCTAAAGGAAGTAAATAGCACTGGTACAGAGCTACTGTGACTATCTTCTTACAACGCTGTGCAGGGTGGGAGTCATGTTTCTGTGGAGAGTGAGTTTTCCTGGATGCCGTACCTCTTGCGGTGGTGCTGGGCAGGGGACTGTGGAAGAAATAAAAGAACCTTTCTGCTTGGTACGTTTTGCTGCTTATAGCATTTCACAGGAAACTCCTGCTGCTTGAGGGTCTAAACAACGAAAATGAACCCCTGCTTAAACAACCTTCTCTACCGGGGGCCAGACAATAGCAGAGATGCTAGCAGTAGGCATATTAAGATTTAATGACGTCTGGTAACTTCCTATCTAAATGTTTTGACAGTTTCCTTTCTTGCAGTTCCAGACAGAGCTCCGGAAGATCTTAGTTTCTCTCATAGAAGTTGCACAGAAACTGCTAGCACTGAACCCAGATGCAGTTGAGCTGTTTAAGAAGGCAAATGGTATGAGCATATCTTTATGGTTACTAGTTCCATCCCAGGAACTTGCTTGCTTCCACAGCAGAAGAAAAGGCTTGCCGAGTGAAGTCCAGACCTTAAAGAAATAGCAGAGCCGTAATAACTTTTTGGCAAAGATTTCATCTTGTGGTATAGGTTATATAAAACTTGAGTTTGTAAAGTCCCTTTTTGATGGATGAAAAGTTCTGTTGAAAAGTAAAATCACTAATAGTAAAACAATTGAAAAACCACATGACTTGCGCTTTAGGGGGCGGGTAAAGTGTTTAAAGTACACAAAGAAATAGTTAAATGAGAAGAAACTGTAGCTGTTGATGCACTCTGTGGGAAATGCTTGCTCTCGATCTGCTAGGACCTGATATCACTTATTTTCCTAGACAACTAATAAATATGTAAGAGGTTCACAGAAGGTCTGTTTACTCATGTGGACATCCCATGGTAATGCGGGGGGAGTTTGCTGTTTAGCATCTGAGATCGTGAATGCACACGGACAGAGTCTTTGTCCTGGAAGAATCTATCTGAGCCAGATCAAGCTGAGTACAACAAACTAAATGATGAGATAGCAAGTTTGGGGCAGAAACAAAAGCAGGGATGGAAGAAGAGAATGGAATTTGAACTTAACATGTCTCTTTCCGTTGAGGAAGGGATTTATTTTAGCTTGAAGTCTATTTGAATGTTGTTCCTTTTGTGTATATGTAGCCATGCTTGATGAGGATGAGGAAGACAGAGTGGATGAGATAGCTCTACGACAGCTTACAGAAATGGGATTTCCAGAGAGCAGAGCTGTCAAAGCCCTTCGATTAAATCAGTAAGTGGTACTCAGCACGCTGACTGTGAATTATTTGGTAAGGTTAAAAAAATGTTTGTTTTTTTTCTTCCTCCAAAGTCTCCTTATGTAGGTTACCTAAAACCAGTTTGAGGAAAGCACTAGCACAAAAAACGGTGCTTCCTCAGGCAATACACAGGTGCAGGTTGTATGGGGAAGGGGAAGCAGTGTTCTCTCTGTTCTGGAAAGAATAGTTGGTCTGTGGTTTGCAAGGCTGTCAGGCTGGCACTGTTGCCGAGCATTAAACTAGCACCACCTTATGCTCTAAAATTCAGATTGTTATGAAGAAAAAGGCAAGCCTAGCCCATCCAGAGTGGCCTTTGAGCTGTAGAAAAATACTTCATGCTGACCTTGTAAAAACATTGCAAGAATATTGTAAAGTCCAGATAGTAACTGTAAGAAAACAGGAATAGGAGAGACCTCAGGAGGTCATGTAGTCCTTGTGCCCTGAGGAGAATCGGCTGTGCTGCATCCCTCCTGAGAGGAGTTTGTTAGGCTGTTCTCAAAAATTACTAATGATAAAGAATTCATGACATATTGCAGTCGCTGTTTTCCAGTATCTCTCTCCACACTTAGAAAGCTTTGCTTTCTCCCCTGATGGCCTCCATCCCTCATGCTGTAGCTGAAGCCAAATAGGCAAGGGCTTTCCTTTCTGTGAACAGCAATTACTGTGTGGTCAAACGAAATTGCTTGTTCGGTTGCCCTGTCGCTATCTTAGCTTCCTTTGTGTTCACTGGGAAGGGACGTCTTGGGGCTCTTTCAGGGTCCCTTAGCTTGAGCGCTTGCAGTGAGTAACAAGCGTCCTCCGTATTATGGTCGTGGTGTTCTCTTGGTCTCCCTTGGGTTGGCCTCTCCTTTGAGGGATTACAGATTCCTTCCTGGGTCAAACTGGAGAAAGAACTGTGATACATGTCCAAGTTCAGTCACCTGCACTAAAGCTTGCTCTTGCTCAAGTTATATTGTGCATGTGTAATATTTGACCCCCTCTTTCCTTCAAATGTTGTTAATGGCATTCCTTGATCACTAGAGGTCCAAGATAGTTCTCCCTACAGAGCAACAGAGCAGCTTGTCTGAAATGTGGTTCCATGCAAGTGTGGAACATGCTTTGTTTTCTCAATGGTTGCAAATGGTCAGTATGAAATATGGCTGACAGGAAATAAAGCTGATGGTTTGGAGAATGAGGTGACTCTTTCAGAAACGCCTTTTAAAACCTGATCTGCAGTTGTCCAAGTTGGACTTTGCTGCTGTGTCTTACTTCCTGGTTTCAGAGAAGATTGTGGCGTCTCAAACGCGCCAGGAGTAGAGGTGTTCTGAAACTTGTTCCAAGGCTGTATTCATGACTTTCAGATACAAATTAATAAGCAAGTCAGGATACCTTTGGAATGAACACACAGAAAAATGTGTGTGGAGCAGTACTGCCCTTCTGGAGCATTCCTCATTCCTGTGTTCTTTATTTGCTTTTCAGTATGTCAGTGACACAGGCCATGGAGTGGTTGATAGAACATGCAGATGACCCTACAGTGGATGCTCCGCTTCCAGGTCAGACTCCATCAGAAGCCCCAGCTGAAGCTGGTGCGTCCTCCGCTGAAGCGACTGCGGGTCCTAGCTCAGAAGCCGGTGGGGAAGAGGCCAAAGATGAACTGACAGAAATATTCAAGAAAATCCGGAGGAAAAGAGAGTTTCGTCCAGACCCACGAGTGCGTGCTGTTTATCTCACTACTTATGTAACTTTTTTAAGATGGAAAGGGACTACCTGGGCACAATGGAATCCAAATAAATGTTTAGTTAAGAAATGTAAAGGGACATTTGTGTACATGTATAACATGTATATTGTACTGGCTCGACCACATTTTAGTGGGAATCTTTAGGGGCTGCTTAAATTCAGATTGCTGAAAGGGATGTTATCCATCTAATGCATTACTGTCTCAGACATCAGTGTCTAAATGACTAGTGCTGTTACTTTTACACCTGAAAATCAACTGTTGCAACTGAAAAGAGCTGATAGACTCCTGGTGTTGCCTTTGACTGCCTTCAGAGAAGAAAGGGTTGCAGGCAAGAGCAGGTCACTTGCTCTAAAAAAAAGACAGAATAGCATAATTGTATTTAGAGGACATGGAAGAGTATCACCAGCATATTAAAAGTCTTGCAGCAAATGCAAAAGTTAACCTTTTTCAAAATGCATTTGCAGTGAAAATGTATATTGTCATCATACTGTAAACTCACCAGGAGGTGCTCTTTAGAATCCAGCACTTTGTTTTTATAGCTAGAGGTTTGTTGTGATTTCAGCTGGAGTCTGCAAAGAATGTAGTGATTGACCTGGGTACAATTTTCAATAATTGAACATTCTCATAATGGTATCCAGGTACACATGCCTAAATGTATAATGCTCACTAGCAATATATAGTAAACCCAGAAAGTAAAATCAAATCTGGTGAGTAGAATTACAAATGCACATGCAGCGTGTATCTAGGTGAGACATGAACAAAGCTTTTTGACATGAGAGAAGTTCTAGAATAAGGTGCTTCCATCCTGCTCTTCTCCTTCCCACCCCACGTACCCTCGCTCTTTGCCTTGCATTCAGCTTTGGCATGTTGAGGATAGGAGCTACCTTCAGTCTTAGGCCCTTAAATTAGTTTATTCTACTTAGGCAGTAGACGCTTTTGATATACAGTAGATAAGTTTGTGGATAGAATTATTTAGTGGCCTGCAAATGAAGACAGCTCTGTCTACCCCACAGAAGGCTCCTGCACAGAAGGTGAAAGAATGATTGTTCTTGTTTGAGTGTTAAATGTTGCATTTATTAAGCTATGCCAATCTGATGTAGGCTGTCATTGCCCTGATGGAGATGGGATTTGATGAAAAAGAAGTGGTAGATGCACTGAGAGTAAACAACAACCAGCAAAATGCAGCTGTGAGTACACTGTTATTTCTGTCCCTATTGCTATGTTAATTGTCTACTCAGGCAATTCCTTTTATCATTGACTTTGGTTGTACTGTAAAGCCCGAATGTTGCCAAAGTTGAAATAAACACTAAGTTCTATGCCTCTTTCAGGTTAGATGAACAACTGGAATGCAAAACATTGTAAATATCTTAAAAGAACTCAGCATGTGTGAGGTTAAGGCTGATCTGGTTGGTGTAGTGTATGTGGATTTTCATAAAGCTTTTGAGAAGCTCCCTCACCAGAGGCTGCAACAAAAGAAACTGTACTATCATGAGGAAGGGAGAGGTATTCCCCCGAATTAATAAGTGATTAAAGGATAGGAATATAGGCTGAGGCAAGAGATCAAGCCATGCAGTGTATGAATTAGCATTCTGCAACAATGTATATCCCACAACCTAGGGGAGCCAAATATGTGAAGATTTTCAAAGATTACTTAGTCTCCTGTTAGTGATTATATTAAGCAGAATGATGTAGCCACAGCTGACAGTGAAGGAGCTTCTTTTCTTAAGCATCCAGTGCTGGCTTCTATTAGGGAAAGGATGTTGGGCCGGGTGCTTCTTCAGGCTGACCTACTGTAACCACGCTGATGTAGTGCCTGCTCTAGGAAGCTCATCTAGAGGATGACACATGTTTTCCCTCAGCCTTGAAACATCCGAAATTAGTGTCGTTTTATTACCGTACCAGGCAATGCTGCTGTTTCTGTTGAAGTAAAGATTGATTTCAGCTGGAACAGAACCTGAATGAATAGTAATCTAGTGTGAAAAGAAGAATATAGTTCAGTCTTTAACTGTACATGAGAGGAAAAAATACCTTTAATATGCCACTTTGTTACAAGTTTTGACAGACTTTCATTGTAATAGAACCAATCATGAATTTATTGTGCCTGGTGATTTCTTTCAGTGTGAATGGCTGCTGGGAGACAGAAAGCCTTCTCCAGAGGACTTAGATAAGGGAATTGACACCAATAGCCCTCTCTTCCAAGCCATCTTAGAAAACCCAGTGGTACAGTTGGGGCTAACAAACCCTAAAACTCTACTAGGTAAGTACTATTTGGGGTCCTGATAAATGTATACAATCTCTGCAATTGCTAGCAAATAAGAGTGCAGACTGAGCGTTCACAGCATGTTTTATGGGATGGGTGCAGCTCTACCCTTTTCCTCCCTTTCAGCAGCTATATTGTTTACTTGCTTCATACTGCAAGCCAGACACCCAGAAGAGAATTTGGGGCTGCCCCAGAGATGATACTAGTCCCTTGGCTAAAGGATTGCATGTGCTGAACTCAGAACTTTAATAGCTGCTGGTTGCAGTGGTTTCCTGGACCTAGGAGGCCTTTTGCCTTCCCTTTGTCCGGGGGCAGGGTAAAAAGGGATGTCTGTCTAGAACCCTGGTTGCTTCACTGGAAAAACAATGAAGGCAATGTGCAGCTTACCGTATGTTGAGGCCAGGTCACTGAAATGGAAAATAATTTGTGTGAGAGTAACCAAACAAAAACTCTGAGGTAAGGCTTTGCCTTGCCAAACTTGAGATAACACGTGCGAACGCGCTTTCCCCTTCTTGGAGTTCAGCTCCGTGGCAAAATGTGTGCATTCTTGGCCCAAAAGGCAGTGGGCTTGGCAAGCGCTCATCTAATGAGCCTGACAGTGAAACACAAATCTGTGCATTGATCGTCCTTATACTGGAGGGCAATACAGAAGAATGACCTTGTCTCTGTGTTTCCCATAAACTTTGCATTTAATCTTTGGCTTCGAACTTTATTTGAAGACTTGCTTTTAAATAAAGGCTGTATGCACAGCTCTTTGAAGAGAGTTTTTTAAAACATCTGCTTTAAATGTAACCGGCAGAGTTTGCAAAGCTCTAAATAATTCAAGAGCAGAATATTCCCACCTTGTTTTCCGAACAAATGGTCTCTTTGTTTCTGAGCAGGGTTCCACACTGCAGCTCAGAATATAAATAGAAAATGAAATGCTGTTATATGCATTTGTAAAGCTTGGATGAGCATGAGAGTATATTTCTAATGATACATCAGCAAATTGCTGATGTCACAGGCTTTAATAACAAATGTTTGCATTTAATTAGATATTCAAAGAAAGTTGATAAATCTTTAGTTTTAAACTCTTGAATCTGTGTAAAGAAATATGATTAAAGTGGTAAAAGTTAAGATCTGTACTTTATTCTGGGCTTTGCCAGGGGCATGCTGCACGACCTTGAGCGAGGTATTAATGATGAGCCTTTCAGAGCTGCTGGGTGCTTCCAGCTCCCACTAATGTCGGTTGGACCTGTGTATGCTAACCCTCCTGGAAAATCAAGACACTGACCGCTGCCAGACTTAAAACACTGACCTTTTAGTGACTTCTGAATAGGTCAGATCTGCAACTGCTTTTTTTATCCCATTCCATAATGACTGAATGCTCTGAATTTTCAGTAGTCCAGCTCAGCCTGTCATAAAGCTTATAAATTATTGACTGACTCATTCTTCTGCTATATTTGCAACTCTACTTTAGAAGTAGCTGTCTGGTTCTGATGAATTTCTTGATCCCTCAAAATAAGTAACACAGTGAAAATTAGTATAATGGCAGCTGTGTATAGAAAGAAGGAGCTGCCCTTGAGTATTTTAATCTGTCATTTTCAAAAATGAAGGTAACTGTTCTGTATAACTCCACTTCTAGCTGTGTTGAGGCAAGTGGAATTTGCTGCCTCCCTGGCATCCTCGACCCTCCAAATGCCAGGAAGGAGAAAGCACATGCTGTTCAGAGGGAAGGCACTGTTTTCCCTCAGGCTCCAGAGACCTTTCGGAAAGATAGGGTCAGACGATAGGTTTGGGACGTGAGGGGCTACGCTTCTGGTTCTCCTGCACGTTTCTGGGTAGCTTATGGCATACCTGCTGCTCGTATGGTTGGCCTAAAAAGAGAGGCTGCTGCAAGAACCAGCCGTTCAAAAATCAAGGCTGAAATGTGGAAGATTCTTGACCGTAGAGGAGTGGAGTTGTGGAAGAGCCCTCTCATATGAGAATTGACAGCAAATAACCCAGTTCAAAGATGGGCATTCATCGACGGGTGAATAGAACTATGCTACTGCAGCCAGCCTAGATAAAAGCAGGGAAATCCTTTTCAATCACCTGTGACTATAATATAGTGGGGCCTACTCAATCTCCTAAGTATCCATGGTCAGAAGAAGTCACTATCTGCGAGTTCACGGGAGCTGTGTCACTAAGGGGCAACTGAGACGCAATCTCTGGCAGCTACACAGCGCCTGCGTTTCCCTAGGGATGTGTCCAGTTAATATTCTGTGGAGCCTAAGGTTGCTCTGCAATGGAAAAGGAAGAAGTTCTGCATGTATACGTTTGCTAAGACTTTAGCTCTTCAAACCCATGTCCTTGAGGTTTTGAGGTGGGTTATAATCCAAGGTGAATGTTTAATCAGTCTCTGTCTGCAGTGAATTCAGTGCTGAGGAACAAGCATAACAGACTATAGCGTCTCCATCTGTGGAGACTCAGTGCCAGAGGTAAGCATATGCTGAATCCCCCCTGCTTCTGGGGGATTCTTGCACGCTGCCTTGGATAAGTAGTGGTCCCAAAGCAAAGAGTAGCTCTGCAGCAGTTTTTAACTTTCCTGTTGTTGAAGCATCCCAAACACTGAAGCATTTGCTAAATAAAGGACTAAGTGTGCTACAATTCTGATCTCTTGACAGCCTTCGAGGATATGCTTGAAAACCCCTTGAACAGCACTCAGTGGATGAATGATCCAGAAACTGGGCCCGTCATGCTACAGATCTCTCGAATCTTCCAGACACTGAACCGCACGTAGAGGGGAATGCCAATCTGCTGTGCCACTTCCTACTGTCCCTCGCTCCACCTTCCCAGTGGGAGGGAGCGTGGATTGCCGGGGGTGTGCGTGGAGAAAAAGCGTTCTGTCCAAACGGGGGTCTCTCACACGAGAGCATACGTTAGTTACAGCCAACCCGAAGTTAATTGCCTTGTGGATTTAGTGTTAGTGGAAGAGGTTTGAAGACTTATTTTTGTTTTCAGGTATTAGGTTCAAAATAAAATATATCCAAATATAGGAAAAGGTTTTGTGAAAACAATTAAGAATCTGATTGGCGAGAAATATGATGGTATTGCTTGTGTTTTAAGCTCCTTGATAAAAAGGCCTGTGACAGTAGTTTACTAGCCAGTTTATCTAGCATCTGGCTAGCGTTTACAAGAGGTCACTGACCACTAGCATAGGATATTAATCATCTCCATGCAGTATTAATTTATGGGGATATCAAATTATAAAATGCTTTTTAAAATTGATTCTTAGGAAATGTTTTTAAAAGCCCAAATACTGGGAGAGCAAGCACATTTCTATCCAGACTTGTTTGTCTTGCATTATAATTGAAGCAGAATAATTCATAGATGGAATTCCTTTAGTAAATAGCATTACTTTTTCCTATTTATTTTCTGCATTAGTGTTCAAGTCCTACAGGGTTTAGGGTTTAGACTTGTAGGAGATTCTGTCGGCTACATTAAAGATGCAGTATCTCTTTCATGACAGAACTTGCAACACGAACACTTGGTTTAAGTGCTGCAATTCATAAGCTTATACTCTGCCATATCCCAGTGCAAGCAGGATGTATTCACACTGTTTTTTTCCATTTTGATGTGCATGTTTTTAAAAAGGGAGACTTGTGTTGTTGATTTTATTTTTTTTTCAGACTCTGTTTACAAAAAGATACTGATTTGCATGAGTGTTCATGGAATGGTAATCTGCAAATAAGCAGAAATGCTTATGTTTTTATCTCATTTAAGGTATTTAAAAGCACGTTTGAAACTATCTTTGAGATGCAAGCATTTTTTTCTCACCACCTTTTTTTTTATAAACCCTGGAAATAACAAGAATGTCAGGCTAATGACAGGCTATGTCTTTCCAAGTTTTATCAGAAGACTGAGATTTCAGACAGGAATTGCGAGCTTCTAACAGAAGAACTTGCTAGTGAATATCCAGCTAGATTTTGTTATCATTGGGCTATGGAGGTGTTGGTTTTTAATAGTCTGACTAAAATGTTGTTTTTCTTTTCAACTTAGCGCCACATAATTGACATCTGTCATAGTCTGTCAAGTCTTGTAATCCATAGCCTTTTTCCAAAAAGGCAGGCTGTGCAAGACCTGCTTCTCCAAAATGCAGAGGAACCGGAGAGAGGCCCTATTCTTAAGCAGCACGAAGGTGTCTGTCAGAGGGCTATCCTGAATAGCTCTACAACCACCTTTTAAGTGCTTTTTGTGTTGCTAGGTTTTGTGTGTGGTTTTTTTTTTGTTTGGGAATTTTTTTTTAAAAAATGTAGCAAGATGCAACCCGAAACCCTGCAACAAGTTTTGGCCTGAACTTGGCATCTGATCTATATTATTATGCAGCCAGGGCACTGAAGTTGCCAATTTCACATAATTAACGTGAAGGGTGGGGAAATCAAAACATCATGAGATTTTTATCTTGGCTTACTATCCCAGGACTTTTTTTATTTTTGTTTTTTGTAATTTCGTATTAAGCTTGCACTTCATGAGTGCTGAAATGTTTACTTTTACATCTGAAAATTCAGAGCTTTATAGAGATCTGTCTTCTCTTCAAATGGAACAGTAACACCATTTTCCTGGACTCTTGTTAAGAACGGATTGACAGCAACAGTGTTTTCCTGGACTCTTGTTAAGGACAGATTGACAGTGTGACATGAAATTGTAACTTTGTTCTATAGTTGTAAAAGCCAGGAACCTGATCCTACAACCCTGTGAGTTCAGTGCAACTACTCACGAGTAGCTGTGACTAAAGGCTGTGGCATTATAAAAAGTTTTGTTTGTTGGTTTTTCTCATTCCCTGCAGCTTTTGACGTGTAATACCACCAGAGGACATTGTTACTTGAAGTTCTAAAGGTCTTTCCTATTCAATCAGGGTTCTTGTAAAAACTCCTTTTAGTGATTCTTTCTAGGAGACAAAGCTGGGAAAGAAAAACTACTCATTCTGTAATATTTTTTGGCTTTTGTATAAACGAGTACAGCTGCAGACTTATTCAACAGACACCTGGGTAGCAGTCATGGCCTTTTACTGAGCCTTTACGTTCTTCAAAGACCGTTTCCATGCTTCTGTTATTTCAGTGAGACATGATCAGACTCTGCAGTGGCTGTAGACAGCTTCCAGACAAGGATCGTCTCTCAGCTTTGGATTCATCTAAAAGTTTGGTCTCTGGTTTGCTGGCAGAACCAGTTATGATACGGCAAGAACAAGCAACCTACCTCACCTGTTGCTACTGACAGAGGAGAATATGGATGATTAACTTGAACCAGCTGCCTAATTTTTAGATGGCTGAAGTTGGGTGAATTCCCAATATAGAGGGTCTAACTAGCTTCAGAGGAGCGGAGCGGCTCACTCTTGAGGATGAAAATTCTGCTACTCCTGCATCTCTGCATTAACCCCGGAGCAGTGGGGTTGGTCAGTGTGATACTGCCAGTGCCTGTTACTAAACTGTCGTCTTCAGTGTTGGTTTGATCAGGGTGATAAAAGTTATCAGAGTTGCCTCCCTCAGTATACCAGAGCAGAATTGGTGCCAGTGATTCTTTTATTTAAAAAAAAAGGAGGAAAAAAAAAAAAAACATCAGGAAAGCATAATCATGTTAATAGGTGAAGGTAAGAATGTCCAGCTCCAACAACATAACCTAATGCTGCAGCTGTGGTTAAAACTGTATGGATTAAAGGAACACTGCATCTTGACAACGCTGGAAAGTTTTAGAATGTGTTACTTCTGGTTCTCCTTCCAGAGCTCAACTCTTAAGCTGCGTTAAGTGTTAGCGTGTTCTTCCTGATCTGCCAAACCGTATTGTTTCTCGGTGTGGTTTTAGCAAAGTCTTGCTTGTCTGAGAACGTAAATTTCCAGTGGCCCGTAGCGGAAGTAGGCCAGAACTTGTGAGGTGTGATGTTTCCAGCAAGGCAGAGGAGTTGATTTAGAACAAGTAAACAAAAAACTATCTTTAAGGTTAAATTAACGTTCAAGGAACAGATGACATAATAGTGTTGTCTTTTAGGTATGAATTGGGTATGAACGATGGAGCTGTATGTCCCATGGCACCTGAGTGTATTGCTACTTCATCATGGTTAATGCATATGTTTGGGGAGAGGAACTAAGTCCATTGGGGCTTGCAAAACAAGCAACCCCCCCTTGCCCCCGCCCGTTACTGAGTTAGCATGTGCAGAGACAGGTCTCCAGGCACAAGGAGTGTATGTGGTGAGACCACTGCCTGGGGACAAACTGTCTTGTTCTGTGGCTGTGAAGGGTTGAGGTCTGGTGGTTCTGGTCTGTAAACCAGTGAGGGGTCCCTAAGCACATGGGAGTAGAAGTGAGGAAGAACGACTCACGGGAGTAAGGATTTGCAGGTGCATGTCCTGTGCTTGTATCTGTTCAACTTATAACTCGCAAAGACGTGTCACATTTGGGTGTCTCATAACGTGGTCAAGGGAGTATTGAAATCGGGGAAAAGTGAGGGACTGGGGTGGTAGGTGACTTATCCAATGCCGTATCTCTTTCTTACAGTTCTTCTCACTCTTTGTCCCATCAATTGATATCGACAGTCTTCTACCTTTTGATATTACATGACTCTTGAAAGCTAGCTAGCTATTTATTTAAGTATATAACTTACAGTTTTGTCATCAAAGCTTTGATATTTTTAATAGAAATGTGCTACATGGAAGTTTGTTCTCAGGGCTTCATATTTATACTCTCTTTATAAGGGGGATGCATTTAAAGGGATGTAGTTGGAAAAAAATGCTGTTGGCCGCTTTGCAGCTTGGACCTTGATTGGTCTTGACCTGTGAGACTGAGCTAGCATAATTCTCCTAGTAAACCGCTAGTGTTAGATACAGTCCAAAGAATCTGCCATTCTTTTCTTTCCTTGTGAATAGTGGCATGCGTCTTCCTTTAAGGCTGCTGCATCATTTTATCAAAATAGTCACACAAGATTACCCAGCCACTTCAGTTTGCTGATCTTTACACCATGTCAAGGACACTTTTGTTCTCCAAGCAGCTGGAAAATTAACTTGCACTGTTTCTGGAACAGTCATTGATATAAGGCTGCTGTTCTAGGAAGGCACAAGGTTCACTCCCTCAACAGTTCCTAAACCTCCAGCTAACGGCATCTTTTTGGCTGCTTGCAGCCTGCCTTGGGTATGTCCCAGAACCTTGACACACGTGTGTGCGCACACCCACCCCCCCCATTTACTCTCCTCGTTCTCCTGGATTCAGACTTATCTTTAGGGGACTGATCTTCATATCCAAGAAGTACATAAGTGGTTATTAAAACCCTTTTTAGTTGGGACAGTTATTTTGGGGGGCTGAGGATATTGAACGTGCTTTGAAAATTGTTTAAATAAGCATTGCACCACACGAATGTATTATAACACTGTCAGCAAATGTTGCCTGTGGAACAGGTATGGAAGTTCACAGTGATCTCAATTTCAATGGCAGCTTTCCAAAACTAGTGTGTACAGGATAGTATGTCATCCAAAGTAAAAGCTCCTTTTTTCTACTTTTAATAAATGGCATTTTTATTAACTGGCAGAATAGCATCATTTGCAGCAGGGTACTTCCATCCAGTTGTTAAGTCCTTATGCTTTGAGGTATGAGCAGACTACCAACCGAATCCTCCCTTCTGGGCCGATGACTCTTCTGAAGCGTTTGTGTTGGCTCTTGTCAGAGCTAGGACAGTCCGTTAGCTCAGGCAGAGTGGCAATCCCTGTGTTCCTGCAGAGGAAAAGCAAGCGGCGTGCCGTAAGTCCACATGAATGTGGTATCGTGGCTGTTGTTGTCACCTGCAACCTGACATCTAGGTATAGCAGAAGGTTTGTTAAGGACATCTTGCCCTAGATTTGGAGATCTTCAATGCACATCCTGTTTGCAGCATGTGAATTTCAACAAATGTAAATGCATTAAATTCTTACTGAATTTGGATATAGTTTTATATCATGTTTTAGGGAGAGGAAAAAAATTAGATCATGTTTTAAACTAAGCCCCACAAAAACAAGTGTCTCTTGTTGCAGCAGGTAACAGAGGCCTGTAGAGTGTTTTTTAATTTGCATATTTTTATCGTAGTTTAACGACCTGTACAAGAACGTGATTTGCTATCCACCGCTTACCACACTGCAGCACCAGTGAAATTATATTGCGAGGTACTGACTTAACATTGTTCATTTCACCTGTGTGTAAAATAATTGGATACCGCGCACAGCAATTTTTATATGGAACTGACACCGATGTGTGGCGTGCACAGCTGTTTCTAAGATGTAATGTTACTTTTATGAAGCTTAACTAGGGCAGACATCGCTGAGCCCGCGGAATTCAGGGTTGGTTCTAGACGTGCTGGCGTGAGTCGTTGGCCTCTCCCCACCTGGGGAAAACGAGCAGGCTTTGCTTCAGTACAGGAGCCCTTTAGGCAAAATCAAGAAATTGCTACTAATTTGTTAACCTTTAAACAGTCAAAGTATTGTCTATCGGAATGTGTTCCTAGAAGTTACCAGGGTTGTTAGCAAAGCCAGACCTGTTCGAACTGAAACCGGTCACCTGCCTTCAGCGTGTGGCAAAGTCCTACCCCTGCGCGAGACTAGAATGAATGCTGAGTCTTTAAACCTGCTCACACACACACTAAAGACACTGTTATGTGTGTTGTAAATTTATAATATATCTTAAAAATAAAGTTTTTTGATTTATTACAAGCTGTTCTGAAACATCATTTTGAAGAGTAGCAAAGGTTGTGAATTCACACTGTTCAGTGTTGCTTGTATTGGCAGACTGCTGGAACTGTTTCTCAGAAAACAAGATATTTTAATAGCTGATCAGCAACCCTATAACACAATTTGAGCAGAAAATCCTGGTTTGGCACCTGTTTCTGCACCTGGAAGGTGTTTCTCCACTTCCCAGAAAAAGGTGCTTTGGTGAGATTCATTCTTAAGGGTTATATGAAATGTATTTGTTGGTCCCCTGTGACGGACCGATGCCGCATAACGAGGATTTATCTTGGCTGATAAAACTGGGAGCCTCTTCTCCTAGGGCAAGGGAATCCACATGAAGGAAAACAGCTCGAGCGCTTAACGGCTGTCAGTGGTGGGATGCAACCACGTGCACGCGACTAAACCAAGAAGCCCTTTCGCTTGGGTCGTGCCAGTGGTGCTGCTGGCTATTTGGCAATGAGCTCGGGAGCACCTCCAGGTCTTGCCGACGTGCGTGCGGTTGCCTGGGAGGCAGCCGAGTAAGGGTGTAAACGCGGGAGGTTATTTCTCTGAAGAACAGGTGGGGTTATTAGCATTTTTACACAATGTACAGGGCAAGGAAGAGCACCTGCAAGGAGTCTTGTTTCTATAGCGTGCGTTACAGCAGCTTGGGAAGACTTCAGAGTTACTTTTGTTGCATCCTGTGGAAGAGAGGACTAGTCTCCGAGACCTCTAAACGCTTGTTGCTCAGTGCAGGTTTTCAAGTGTGTTATCGATCGCAGGTGTTGTCTTGGTCCCAGATGGCCCCTAGTTTGTATTTCCTTAAATCCACCTACAAGCGCTTTGTGGTCTATCATTTAGATAATGGTACTTCTGAACTTAAACTGGTACAGCAGGTCTGGGCAGAAATCCGCACCTTAAAATTAAAAAGTAGCTGCTATCTGAGTGACAAAATGTGTTGTAATTGCCCTCGGGTTTGTGGGCTCTCTGGAGATGAGAAGCGCGCTTTCAGCGTGGAGCGGTGCTGCTAACGTTATCCTTCAGCCGTGAGAAATGGGAAGGTTACCCGCTGCCTTGGCCCCGGAGGTACTTGCAGCTTCCATCAAAGCCTGCGTCTGTGCCACACAGGGTGGGAAAGGTAAGTACAGGTTGCGCTGGGCTGAGCAAATTCAGCTTGTTAGTAATCTCTCACCTTGCCAACACTAACACAAGTGGCGTGGCAAAAGAGTTGCCTAATTTCCTCAATGGGTGCTTTACCGGAGTTGCTCCCAGCAAGCTGTTTGTTCCAGGGTTTCTTTTTCCATGCACTCCCTTTCCAACCTGAATGGAAGGTTATTAGTAGCACCTATACCCCCCAAGAGGAGTAGAAGAACGTGAAATTACCTGACTGACTCCTCTAACGTATCTACCTGGACCCGGTTCCAGGATGAACAGGAGGAGATGGCAGCTGCTGCCCCCGTGAGTTCCTGCAGCCTGGCAGCCTCGTTCGGTCAGACCAAGGCTGCAGTCCCCTCGGCAGAGGATGTGACCGTCTAATAGTTTGTTCTGCACTTGATCTTGCGGGTTTTTAAATAGTGATCCCATTGTGTGAGAGTTGGAAGGGACGGTGGACGGACTGGCCAAAAGCAGCAGCTCTGGAAGCGGGAACAGATGCTTCGCTATAGGGGAAGTGGGTTTTAGGGCAGAATTAATGGTGTTAATTCTCTTTTCTCTCACTGCTCAAAAGCTTGAACTTGAAATAAAAAATTTAAATGCATGGACCTGACTGGAGCTCTAGTGGGTTGGAAAGTGGCTGGCAACGAGGGGAGTGTCTAGGGTAGGCGTGCGATCACGGCAGCAGCCTCGGGAAGAGGGCCAGCGAGCGCGACCCGAGCCCTCGCCTGTCCCGTGTCTCCAGGAATCCTGTCCCGCAGCGCTGGGGGACGGACGCCC